CCCTGCTCCACTCTTCCGCCTGCCCCTCTCCCGATCCCAGACCCTCCCCACAGGGTGGCCAGCCGACTCACATCGTAAGCACACCAGCAACTTTTATCGACAACAGACAACAACAACAACAAAGATACAACGACTTCTCAGTATCTCATCAACCTGTGCCGGACCCGAGCAGTACTGGTGGTGAGCATGGCTCCCCCCCAGTACAGGGGCTGGGGGGACCTGTGCCGACCACGCAACTCAGAACAACACGACCAAGGGGTGGATCAATGTAAATGGGGCTAATAAAAGCAGCAGTGGGGTCAGAAAGGAAGTAGGTAAGGACACAGAGTACGGGACAGGGACAACCCAAGAAAATCTCCCCCTAGAGAGTCAGCTGCACAGCATTTTGCATTGCTCTGCAATACGTTCCACCCATGTCAGACCTTCATGCTCTAAAGATTATGAATGCCACACAAGGGTCTTATGAGGGTTTAGGGCTTAAACCACCAATACTTGGCCCAGCTATCGGCCGCGGAAAAAAATAGAGTAGAAACATTTTTAGTCGGATGCATTTGGGCGCTCCTGTAGTGGCCCGTACGTTTCCTAAAATCACGTCGCGTTAACGGGCATGACTTTAGGAAGTACTGGTGGTTTAACGCGTGCCAAGGGTCGGACAGGTAAACACGGAACAGGGGGGCTGCCGAACAGGGCTGGGTTCATTGATAAAAAGGGGCTCTTAGATGGGTTGGGTGTTACTAGCAGGTCCATGGGATAATCAGAGCCCCGGGTAGTTAACAGAAATGAACGCAGCCACAGAAACAACGGATAACAATCCCCATGATTCATGATATTTAATGGGACGCTGGACCCGGTTTCCAGCAGGTACCGCTCCAAACTGAATGCCCAGGGACGCTGGACCCGCTTTCCAGCAGGTGCTGGTGGAGCCTCCTGGGAAATGCTAGTGGTGTCTGCTCTTACCAGCACCCCTCGCATCATCTCGGGCTGTTTTGCTGGAAAAAAAAAGAAAAAAAATGATTTGAACATTTTAGTGCAGATTCTGGCTAAGCCCCAAGCTATAAGAATGAGACATCTGCTTCCAGAACTATTCCGTCGAGACGAGACAGTTTTTGTCATGGGCAGAAATAGTTTAGTTACAAGACCAGTACATCCAAGCCTCTTTTTGTCGTGATGGTGGTAAATCCACACTGCGCACCAAACTTTGCTGAACAACGCACTGTTTTCTCTTTTCTTTGCCCAGCGCCACCAGTTATATCTCCAAGCCCCCAATTTCCTCCCCCCCCGCCACCCCCGGGATTGGTTGGATTTCGATTCTCAAGTTTGTTTGGGCAATGTACAGGTGATACCACTACCATCCTCCCCCGAACATAACGCATAGGCGTTGTATTCGAGGTTTTAAAAAATTGAAAAATTCAAATAGAATGCATATGCATTGTATTCAAAGATTAGAGTTGTTCGAATAGAACACGTGTGTTGTATTCGAAACAAAGCAACCTATGCATTGTAGTGTTTTACATTCGGGAGAAGATGGTCGTTGGCCCATACATCGATCGCGAGCTCTTTTAGTACACACGCCATAACTTTTGGGGTTGTTAAGCCGTTGACAAATCGCGTCAATGACCAGCACTGTGGTTACGGCCTTTGGACATCGCAGTGAGGGGGCCCGCAGTCGATGTATGGGCCAAGAATTGGCGGTTCAACCTATGCATTGTAGTGTTTTACATTCGGGAGAAAATGGTCGTACTGGCCCATACATCGATCGCGAGATCTTTTCGTACACACGCCATAACTTTTGGGGTTGTTAGGCCGTTGACAAATCTCGTCAATGACCAGCACCACATTTACGGCTTTTGGACGTCGCAGAGAGGGGCCCCGTAGTCGATGTATGGGCCAAGTAAATTGGCGGTTCAATGTTAGCACGATGGCTCGAGCACTGAGAGCAATCAAAAGAATTGAGGAGGATAAGACACTCATAGTGTTAGACCTTCACAAATTCATATGACAGGGTGAACTAGACATTCCTACATGAAATACTTCAAGCATTCGATTTCGGGAAAATATTTTAGGAAGTTGGTTACGGCGATGTACTCTACGACTACAACTTCTTTACTCGTTAATTAAGTGGGATTGCCACTGAGGAGTCCCCTCTCACTCTCAGTACGCCCCTCCGAAGACACGGATGCTCCCTTACTCCTCTGTTGTTCATCTTAACCATGGAAACACCGTTGATTGCAATCAGAACGAAGTCATGCATCTGAGCGTTGTAGCTGAAAGTACGGAAGAGCGTAATAGGAAAGGAATTATAGATGTTACTCCCACCTCCGAGAGATTCGAAGTTCTTAGTTCTTTTTTTCCTCTTCTTCTTTCTTCTTTTTGTTTTCTTTTTACTTTTTTCTTTTTTCTTTTTTCGGCCCCCCCTAATACTACGCACCACTCTGACATCTCCAGCCTTCTCCTCCTATACCTGCCTGATCTCCCTTCAAAACCCTATACTACTTTGCAAGCGACCCAGAAAGCTGCCTTCGCTTTTGGTGTTCCTTCGAAAAATTTAGGATTCCATAATTTCATCTCAGAGATCCAGCGTTGTTGAAATTAAGCATCTCGAGGGAGGGAGAGTGGCTGAACAGTACATAAATAAAACTGTTAGAATACAGTTCACAAGTTCGAATCCGTAGCAACAACTGCAACAATGCTAGGGGTGACCGTCTTCACACAAGTGCATAATGACGATAAAACAGAACCCCTCTTTACTCACCCTCTTGAACCCATCCACTCATTTCATTTGTGAAATGATTCGATGTCTGTAATTCCAAGCAGCAGCATACATTTAGGGCCATCACTCCGCGAGTTGGCTAGCAGCACGCACATCGCAAAGTCGTGATCGACCGCTCCTGTTTCGATACGATAGAGAACATGCATGACACCTGTGCACCACCTCCATTCCCATGACACAACCCTCCTTTTGCAGTAAAAATACGAAAGGTAGAGGCAGGCCCATCCTTGTGCCTGTCTCTTATACACATCTAGATGTGTATAAGAGACAGGAGCGTTGTATTCTCATACAACGCCTGACATTATAGAAGAATATGTTGCATGCTGAGCGTTATATTCCCATACAACACTTCAGCGTTATTTTTNACACAACCCTCCTTTTGCAGTAAAAATACGAAAGGTAGAGGCAGGCCCATCCTTGTGCACCTGTCTCTTATACACATCTAGATGTGTGGGGGGGGGGGGGGGAAGGGCGGGGGAGCAGGAGAGCGAAAAGAAGAGAGATATTGTGCCATTTTTCTAAGTTCCGTTTTGATTTTGCGCCAAACGCAGATATCCTCAAACTTCATGTTTTCATCGGATTGCGTTAGGATTCAAGCTCAAGTTCTGAATACGAACAGTTATATATACGTACCACCACTCAGCAACACTCCCTCCACTATTCCTCTCTCTGCCTCTTTCTGGGCCAGCTCTTCACTTCATGCCTCCTCCCAGCATCCAGTCTCGGAATTCGTTTCCCAAAACCAGAGACACCACTTCAGCCAACTATTCTTTCGCTGTTCTAGCTAACACGTGAAATTTCTTCCCTCTTGTGTTTTGCACAACTGTCGCCAAATTTCACAAAGAAAACTAACTTGGAATCCAAATATTGTTCAGATGCCGCCTGCGAATCATAAATGACAGTGGAACTCCCATGTCCTTTGGAAACCTGCTGTTTTCCGAGCTCAATATTTTAGAGCCGTAAGCACACAGACACACACACAAGGATAAGACCTGAAACAAACAAAAACATCAGCAAGAGAGAGAGAGAGAGAGAGAGAGAGAGAGAGAGAGAGAGAGAGAGAGAGAGAGAGAGAGAGTACATACAGTTAATCTCTGCAACTAAGCGACTTTGGCGGTTGCGGCAGCTCTCATAATCCCATCATTTCTTGGCAGGTACACGCTCTCTCCAGCACGGTTGGCAGATCACCCCAGGTGCCAGCAGAAGACGATTGAGAAGTACATCAGTTCAATGCAGACATGCATGTTCCCTTCACCGGATGCAAACTGGGATAAACGATAAATCACATCACTGCTGATAACCAGAGAGGCTCCGGCCCGCTTTGTCTCCCGTAATTCATCGCTTCCATAGAGCCTGCGTTGCCTCCCAGCTCTACTGCAAAACAACGCTGTAAACAAAGCCGACGACCCAAGTACGAACCCAGGTCATGCACGCTTACAAGGTGCATGACTGACCCAGGTACGAACCCAGGTCGAAGCCTACCAAAAAATACAGTGAAAGTGGGCCAAAGTGGCAAATAAATTTTATCACCACACAGTGAAAGTTAATATGACTAGGACCAGGTTAATATTAACCGAGGTTAGAGCACTGACAGAAACGCTGGCACGAACCCACATGTTGATACGGCTATGACGCTGCCTGCTTCACTTGCAAGCCTACAGAAACGCTGGCACGAACCCACATGTTGATACGGCTATGACGCTGCCTGCTTCACTTGCAGAGTGAGAAGGTACAACAATGTACCGAACAACCACGTTTACAGACAGCGTTTAGAGCGCACCCTGACTGCAGGGCTGACCCGAGTACGAACCCCGGTCATTGGCACTATGGATGGCTAGCAGTTTCTGCAATGCTCACACTCACATCACAGCAACCCGCATGACTGACCCAAGTACGAACCCCTGTCGTTGGCACTCCCGAGGGTCTCTGTCCAGACAGAGCGAAAACTGCCAGCCTACCTCCTCAAGCATACTGCAATTCGGCGGGTGTCCGCTTCTCCCTTGCAAAAAAGCGGCGAATCATCTCGATCTCCATATGGTGCTTTTGCTAAACAGGCATGCAGTCGCTACTTAGGCATATAGCCACAAAGCCAGGCAAATCTAACGCGGAGAGAAACATTATAACAAGGCACAAAATAGACCGGCACAACATAGAGGGAAGGGAAAAGAAAAAAGAAAAAACGCCAAGCAGACGGCCGTACAGTCTTGCTCTCGACTAAGCAAAGCATATTAGATCAGACACTCAGCCTTCATAGTTCCCGATCCTTTGCGGTCGAACGACTACAGTCAGAATAACCCTCACCCAACAAACAAAAAAAAAACTTCACGTCGAGAACTTTTTGTGACACTATTTACAGTTGCAAATGCGTGATCGATCGATCGATCTATCATTTGATGATTCATCGATTCATCCTTGAACCGAAGACACATCCTTGGCTTTCTCTTGTGATTATCTATGCGGCTACTATGTGCATAAATAATACTGCATATAAATATTCTTTCAGGTTTCAACGGTAGATCCGTGCTTCGAACATGCCGGCGGGAAGCCGACGAATCCCACCTCTTGTTCAATAGAAGTGCAAATTTTGTCCTTCTCCTAATCATCGAAGTAGACTCTGTCAACAAAAAAAAAAACACAGAAAAAAAAGGTGGACTTATCAGATGCCCAGCGATGGCGAGTCTTCTTCGAGAGTGCTCAGAGTGGAAACCAACTTCATCCTGAAACCAGCTTCATCCAGGCACTCTCAAAGTCTCTCCCGAACTCGTCCAGGTCGCACTGCCGACATTCAACCGCATCACAACCGCCGACATACTTTGCATTGACGTCAACAACATTTCTGATTCGGTATCGCTCTATCAGTCTCGCCGTCCTTGCACAGGCAGTAACCGACAATTTGGTGACAACGATGAGGCACAAGAAGATGGACTCCAAAGCAATTTCTGAGTCAGTATCTCTGTATCGGTCTACCTGTCATTGCACAGACCGTGACCGACAAGTTGGCGACAACAACGAGGCACAAGAAGATGGACTCTATAACAATTTCCGATTCAGTATCGCTGGATCGTCTTAGCCGTCATTACACAGACAATAACCGACAACAACGAGGCACAAGAAG